GTGTGCAACAGGAAAAAGCAAAAACATAAGCCCGAATATTACATTGTTTTTTAAACTTAGACTCAGAGCGCGAATTTTACTAAACCGTAGGGATTGTTTCTATATCTTTGTCTAATAAATATCAAAGACATGGTTGTTTGCAATATGACCGTTCCTATTTGGATCATTTTAATGATTATCTACAAGATACCGTCTAGGAGTGTAACTGAGTTAAGTATGTTTAACTTGAAACTCGACTTGACTAAAAAACACGAGCTCAAAACTTGACTCGACCCTTAATTTTCAAGTTCGACCTCATACTCAATGAAGTAATTGACACTTTCGAGCTCGACTTGACTTGATTAATTATTAAAAAATAAAATAATATTAATTTGCAATAGAAATATGATTAAGCTCGTGAGCTGGACTCGACTTGGCTTAATTATGTCAAATATAAATATATCTAAGCTCGATTAAGCTCGCGAGATTCACAAACCGAATAATCTAATAATTAAGCTCGACTTGATAATATACTCAAATAGCTCGAGCTCGAGCTCAATCTCGAGTTTCAACTGTGAAAGATATGAATATAATTCATTTTTCATGAATTATATGATATTTCAAACACACATTAAAGAGCTTTATTAATTATTATTTAATGTTATAAATGTTGATGCTGATAAATTAGTTTAACATTATTAGGGTGGAGGATATTCATCCCTTCCAACTCATTCAACCCATTTGTCAGCTTCATATTAGTTTTTCTCTCTTCTTTCTCTTTCATCTTTCCAACCCGCAACATATAGAAATTTATTTTTTCAAACTCACACAAGTCATTCAATTAAAAACATACAAAACTATCTGCATACAAGTTCTTAAGCATGAAGTACAACTAAAACGAGAGAGAGAGAGAGAGAGAGAGAGAGAGAGAGCTTTGGGGGTTCGGTTACTCGCCTCACCTCACTTCAGCAGTACCAATTGAAGCTCGGACATGTCATCTTGGAGGTACTGAGGTACCTCCAACCCGCTTCTACACCTTCCACCCTTATAATTATTTCTTATAACCGATAAAATTTAGATAAGATGATTATATATAAATATCTTAAACAATATAATCTCAGACTTTATAAGTCCTCGTAATTGAATCCTACCGGTTACTATACGAAATAGGGTTAAATTAAACGTCCAACACCGAAATAGTGGTACGGTGTGTGAGGCTATGAGCCATGCGGTTTACCTTTTTTTAATATATTGCGATAAAAGAGGAGAAAGTGTAAATCATCACTGCTTTAGGGGGTATTAACAATTTAAGTCAAAGTACAGGGGAGATATTTGTATGGATCGTCAAATTGTGCCTCCCAAAAAGCCTCTCCATCCATGGAACACGAACAAGAACGAGCTTTTATCCAGGAATTCGAGCAAAATATCTCAAGCTAGTGAACTCGTTTGTTGTCTTTCATATACACTTCAAAATTCTACCGATTCCGGCTAGCCGGAGATTAGAGAGGTAAGCCTATTACTGACGTTCATCTGTTTATACTGAAAACCAGGTACTATGAATGTTTCGTTTCGTTTCGAATCTCTGATGTGTTTTTATATGATAAACCTATACAATTCCTGAAGTCGAATGTAATCCTTACAATTTTCAAATTAGGTCAATGTTGTATGCCGTATCAATCCCTAAACCTTGCTTATCTTATCCAAAAACCACTTTCCACTCCCAAAACCCTCAAAATCTCAAAAGAGGCGTGCTTCGTGTATCAGCTACTTTACCGGAATCTAATGGGGTTAAAGTAGAGTACACTCCATGGCTAATTGTCGGATTGGGGAATCCTGGCAACAAGTATCACGGAACTCGCCACAATGTAAGATTTTCGTAACCCAATTCTCTGAATTTCAAATTCGAGTTATTAGGCTTTAGGGTTTTGTTTTGTTGATATGTCTCGACTCTAAAATGAAGTGCTTTTCAAACTTATATGATTAGGTTGGCTTTGAAATGATTGAACGCATATCTCAAGAAGAAAGGATTGTGATGAACACTATACAGTCAAAGGCTTTGGTTGGAATAGGTATACAAACTTATTAATTTGAAACATTTCTGATAAATTCAACATCAGGTATTCATCTAAACCTTGTTTTCTGCAATCAGTACAGGTTCTATTGGAGAAGTACCTGTTCTGTTAGCAAAGCCTCAAGGATACATGAATTTTAGTGGAGAATCGGTTGGTTTTCACTTATAATCCATACTATATATTTTAACATATTTTTGACAATGGTGTTTTGTATAAAAAAAAAACAAATAATTTGTTACTTGTTACCTATTTATGATATTAACCCTGTATTGTAATCTTATTTAACTAGGTTGGGCCCCTTGCTGCATATTATCAAGTACCATTGCGTCATATTTTACTGGTATTTCTTTCACCCTATAAAGTAGAACATGGCAATAGATGTACATATAGGGATATTTTTGTAATTTCCTTATGTAACTTCATGTATTATCTATTTAGATATATGATGAGATGAGCTTACCAAATGGTGTTTTGAGGCTTCAACCTAAGGGAGGTCATGGGTATCATAATGGGTAAATTCATTTACCAATCTTGATGAACTTAATGTAAAAAAAAAAAAAAAAAAAAAAATTATCTAAAATTAATTGATAACGTTTTTTTTTCTTTTTAATTTAGAGTGAAGAGTGTTATGGAACATTTAGATGGTCGCCGTGAATTCCCTCGGTTCTGTATAGGAATTGGGAATCCACCTGGCACCATGGACATGAAGGCCTTCCTTCTGCAGAAATTTAGTGACGTGGAACAAAAAGAGGTAAAAAAAATAGTTTTGTATTTGGCTTGCATTGACTGACTGACTGGGACTGATGTCACTAGGACAAATAATGTAACTTTATGTCTCATCCAAAAGGTGGGACATGGACTGACTCTTAATCTGTTGTTTGTGCAAAAGACGTGAATGCCCTCCACATAGCAGTAGAATTAACTGTATTGAGATTTATGGAATTTGCAGATAGATGGAGCGTTGGCACAAGGGGTAGATGCAGTGAGGAGTTTGGTATTGAACGGATTCAACGATAGGATCACGAGGTTTAATTTAGGGCAAAAATACAAATACAACAAAGTTTGAGCATAAACTCATTGTGTACTTATTAACCTCATGGATTTTAAATTATTATTTTAGAAGGGAAATACAATGAGATCAATGTACCTTTACACCATGCTTTTTCACTTAGTTTCATTTGCTTTTATCCCCACAATAATAACATAAAATACTCAAAAGCTTGTTTTGTATCGGACCTAAAGCTACTAGCCTACTATGTCAGATATAACCCCTTCAACTTTCAGGAATGTCCAAAACAGCCCTTGTATCTTCTTCTTCTTCCTTTTTTTTATATTTTTGGCAAAAAATAATGTGTATCTCAAAAAGGGATTCAATAGAAATATACAAAATATTGTTTGCCAAATTAAATGTTACATACAAGGATCTTTCGCTCCAATACGCATTCAAAGACTGCAAATTAAACGCCAAGGTTGACAAAGCAAAAACATGTTATTTGTCCATATTGCCCCTATCCGAGAATATTACAAGAAGTGTTATGTACACAATGGCCCGCTAGCTGGCTAACATTTGAGCACACTGACCGTAAAAAGTAGGGGTGTGCAATAAACCGCATAAACCGTCCGCACCGCACCAAACCGCACCGCATAACGCGGTTTAAAACACTCGAGGTGCGGTTTGCGGTTTGTATTTTTGTTAAACCGCATTATGCGGTGCGGTTTACGGTTTACGATTACAAAATTGCGGTTTAAACCACACCACATTCATCAAATCAATTAATGATTATATATATATATATATATATATATATATATATATATATATATATATATTCGAAAATATTTTGACATGTCCTAAATTAGTGACACTATCTTAAGTTTTTGAAATGTAATCTTAATTAATCCAAAATTTAACACATGTATCATATTTTTTTGTCTCAAATTCATTTTCAACTAAGATTCGGTGACCATTATTTTACGGTCACTATGTTTTCTTTAACTTATGTATATTTATAAGTAGTTAATGTATATTCATAAGTAGTTAATGATCACAATTCTTTCACCATCAAATTTCTTAATGACCACTTAGTGAGCCGTTAGTGATCACAATGATAGTATTATCATTAAATTTAAAGTAAATAATCAGTCAAACCGCATGTAAACCGCATAAACCGCCCGCACCAAACCGCACCGCATAATGCGGTTTTGAACGTTTGCGGTGCGGTTTCTAAGAAACTCAAACCGCATATGCGGTGTGGTTTGCGGTTTTGGCTCTAAACCGCATCAAACCGCACTGCGCACACCCCTAATAAAAAGTGCAATTTATTAGAGCACACTGACCCTAAAAAGTGCAATTTCATCTGAAACCGAAACTTTCATACTATTCATTTGAGGCTTAACCGTAGCTTGTTTTTTGAAAGATACCATATATCGGAACCAACTAGCGATAGAAAATTTTGGTTGAAAGTGAAATGGTTTTCTTGTTTTAGACTTTTGTATTTGTACTTGTTTTTAATTCTGTAATGACTCTAAAACAGCAAAAATAATATTGTTTAATAAAGAAGATTATTTCCTTCTACAAACCATAAACACTTGTCAAATTTAGAGTATCTTTTTCCCTATTTGTGGCGAGTTTAGGTCATAAATGACATCTCTTCCACAATCATATCATTTTTCTTAATTTTGTCAACAATCATGAAGTTTCAGCAAATATACAAACGTAAAGGGGGTAAATTGGAACATGCCAAATTTGGCTGCTTTTAATCGAGTGCATACTCCCAAAATTCAATAAGAACGTTGGAAAGTGAAATTAAGAAATTAAAAAGTACACTTTACCCCCCTCCCCACCTCCAGTCTCATAAATTAGACCGTTGGAGAACTCTTTCTTTTTAAAACAAAGAGCACCCTTCAACACCATTAACGACAAATCACATTCTGAACTTCCGATCAACGATGGCCGGAGAAAAACCCTCCGCCACCACCTCCGATCACCTTTTCTCCATTCTCGATCCTAAATCTCTCATCCTTTCACAATTCAGAGACACCAAAAACCCTAATTTCTTACATCTCACTACCGACAGTTTCATCATGGAGAGAGGACCCAGATACGAAGCTTACGCCGATCTTCGAGAATCAAAGCTCAGGTTGAAATCCATGGCTAGCTCACCTCAACGACCACCTAAAGATCATCGTTCTGGAAATATCTCCACCACGCCGGAAACTCAACTGAAAGCTCCGGCAAAGCGGCGGAAAGGGTCGTCTATTTTGACACAATCTGTTCCGGACTTTTCGTCTGCATTGAGGAAAGAGAACAGGAAGCCGGCACTTCCACCGGTGGCAGAGAAATCTGCAACACCACCGGCTAAGAGTTCTTCGAGATTATATGAGATTAATGCGAAGTTGATAGGGAGTAAGTCGTCTGTTTCCGGCGAGAAGAGCGGCCGTGGGATGTTGACGGCGAGAAAAAGCTACGCAAACATGGATGAATTGAAGAAATTTTCCTTGGCAGCGGCAAACGCCATTAATGGCGAAAACAAGGGCGGGAGGATCACCGGAAACAGGGGCGGAGGAAGGACTACTGTGCTGGGGAGTAGACAGTTTAATTGAATTCTACTTTACTAATATTCAATATTTTTTATTTTTTCGATTTACTTTTACATTTAAATGAGGTTTTGATTTTAAAAATCTTCTATTATTCTTATTATTTCTTTTTTTCATATTTTGGTTGGATTTGTACAAAGTTTTTGAGTGGGCTTCCGTATGTAATATTCGTGTAAATCCTTGGTATATTGATTTGCTTTGGAAATTAAGTAATGAGATTTGATTTGATATGATTTCTAGTTTTATAAAAGTTAATATTATTTTTATAAATTTAATTAAGGAAGATTCGTATAAAAGAGTTATATGTATAAATACTAAGACGACATAACCCAAATGGGATACTAATCTATTTCTCAAATACAATAAAAACAATCTTAATTCGGGTTATAACTAAGAAACAATTAGTACATGAAGTGTTTGGAGGCATGTTTTTAAGATGATCACTGTGATATATTTATAAACTAGATTATGACTCGCGTTAAACGCGGAGGAACACATAAAAAAATAAGATAAAGCAACATAAAGAGACTTTATATTATTGATTAATATAATGTGTAAATTAATAAAACGAAATGTCTGATTATTTATAATTGTTGAAGGACCTTTTTGTAGACAATATTTTTTGTTTTATTGGTTGAACGACCTTCCTCGTCACATATGAGTACCTTCAAGCTTTTTTTACTTATCATGTGAGAAACAACTACATATAACTGACAATGAGTGAAGAATAATATATATCAAACACTCAATATGATTATGGAGGGAATAAACGCAATATACAAGAGTAGATTTGTGATGTCAGAGAGTGGTGTGGAACAATAGTATATATCAAACACTTAATACGAAATTTAAAGCTTTTATTCTGTTAACATATGCAAACCATGTATACTTATACAAATTTAAGGAAAGTATAAAGATAATACGGAATTTAAGGAAAAAAATGAGTTATACAAATCGTACATTATAGACATTTAAGTACTGAAAATATAAAGGTAATATATAAATATGAATTTTACCATTTATGATGTCAATGGTGTGGTTGGAGAAGAGTTAATGGGTAAAACATTACTAACAGGATTTTTAGGTTTTTTCTTTCTCGAAACATATGAAATGTCACTCATTTCAATATGTTTTATTTGGTTTGTGTTCTTGGTTAAACACGTGTGACTCAACCAAGTCCTCTTAACTCTACTTTTGTGTGCAACCTAATATTGGGTAGGGATTCGTAGAGAAAAGAACATGAATTGATTTAACAAAAGAAAATGAATTGGTTTAATGAATAAGAATTAATGAACTTTTTTTGCAAATAGTTTAAGGTTTACAGTGACTCAACCAACTGCAACAATTTACAGCCATTTGTTTTATTTGAATTGCAAAAGAGTTCAAAGTAATTAAGTCAAGATCAAAAGACAAACAGAGGTCGCCTTTTTATATAACAAAACATACAAAGTAGATTATTTAGCTTAGAAGTGTTATATTTGATAATAACATATACATGATGCTTTTGATATAGGACATGGAATCAAGTGTTGCAATTTTCATTCCTATCAAAATATAGTCAATGACACATTATAATACAATGTACAAAAGAAATTATATATATATATATATATATATATATATATATATATATATATATATGTTGTATTAACATTTTACTTGGGTCAAAATGGTAATAAGAAATCTAAAACATGCTACTATTACATTTTATTTTTGATAAATATATAAAATATATAGCTTTTATATAAATAAACTTGGGTAAATATCTTATTTTATACAAAAGTTTTATAGTCTAACATGGTTTAACAATTTATAAAAACAATAGTTGGTAAAAGTTGAACTCTTAGTTCAAATACACTTTTTTCGTACTTACTCTACAACACCTTTCTGTATAAATTGAATTAATATTATATTATTTAATATATATACAATTAAATCAGTATTCACAGATCCTTTGTGTGTGACCTTTCTTGTATCTGAAGCGCCGCCTATAACCACACCATTAGAATTTGCATCAAATTTATATCTAAGTTAAAATGAAAATACCTCTCGAAAGTTAACCTATAATGATAAAATACTTTTAATTTACCCACAAAAAATAGACTTGTATTTTGTACCAAAATAACAATGTACTTACATTTTGAAAACAAACTCAAAGTATGTTGTTATGACGGAAAACTAATGATTGTATTAAGCCATTGCACTTTCACTTTTTAGTATGAAGACATTACATTTCAAAAAATTTTCCAGTTATATCAAAGACGAAGATAAACACACACACACACACATAGAGAGAATGAAGCAATGTAAAATGCTTTTGTAGCTAAATTGTATATTCAACTAAAGCTAAGGCAATCATTTGATAGAGCATTCAATAACCATTAAAATCCCCCATGTGACCCTACCACTCCTAAGATAGGAAGTTGGAATTAGTTTACTAAAAAAAGTCAAAACATAAAAAAAATGATGATCTTTTCATGCCAACATTTGTATTCATGGTGGAAAAGTAGTTAATAGTTTAAATTATAATATTGTTTTTGAAAACTCAGTTGATGAAAGTGATGTAAATTAATAGAGAGTTCACAGTGAGAGATTTACGTTATATAATGTTAACAGTGAGAAATTTTCATGCCAACATTTGTATTCATTGATTCAAGTTTTCTTGGTTTCTAGAAGGAATCCTTTTTATTTATAATGTTAATAGTTAACATTCAGATTTATGTTCATATAATGATTTTCTGAAAATATAATCACAATTTAACCTAATGAATCAATTCAACTATGATAATAATAATGAAGAAAAAAAACATAACGAAACAAAAAGAAAAAAAAAGTTCAAAAAACATATTGAAAACACGATTCCATACATGAGTTGCCCCATTTTACCACTTTTTTCTTCAGATGTTATATCATTTGTCTCAATGCTTCCCACTCCCTAAAGATCATCCACCCATTAAGATTGTGTGCATTAAATATTTTAAATGTTTTATTATGCAACAAGATATGAATAAAAAAAATATATAAATATTCATAGACTTACCTCTGGTTGAACACATTGTCTCAACTTGCTAGCACGATCACCAACACTTTTTAAAAAGAGCATGTGTTTTACTATTCTGTTCTATCCAGCAGACCATCAATGCTACACTGCAATTCAAAAAAATTAGGATATGACACAAAAGGGCAATTTAGTAATTTAAAGAAGAAGAAGAACCTTTGTTCCATCTAGACCAAGTTCCTGCAAGTCCTTGAGCCGATCCTAAATCAATTGTCTGTCTCAAGGTCTAGCCTTCTGTTTAGCACCCGGTTTCCCCCTTCGTTTATTGGCAATTGACAATTTTGCCCCTCTACTCTTTTGTTCTTCTTCCTCTTTCACTACATCACCTTCACCCTCATATGAAATAGCAGAAGTTGAACAAATATCATTATGACTTGTCACCCTGCTAAAAACCTCGGGTACTAAATGGTCATTAAATACTGAACTATCTCCCTCAAAGCCTCCATTTTCATTTATATTTTTTCTTTTTGTCAAAGAAGAAAAATGGCCAAATGAATTACTAAGTGAACTTTCACCACTCGTTTGGATACAAGGATTCATATTTACCAAAAGATTTTCCACATTCTCATTGGAAAAAAACCATTCCATTGGTTTTACTTTTACTATCATCACCAATGGAAAGATTTTGGAAAGAATCATCTGCGGGCCCCATAAAAGCCGGACCGAGAGCTTTATGCAGCTCACATTCTTTAGGGAAGCTTAAAAACGGGCCCACATCACTGATTATAAGTCCATTGTGGTTTGACTAGTTGACTTCATCAGAACTCTTGTTGTTCTCCATGAATGATGGGAACTCATTGAAGCTTTGCATAATGAATGATGATGTAAATTGTTGATTTGTTGAAAAAGTATCAGAATAACTCATGAAATCTTGATGTGTGAAAAATTCGTTTTTGATATAGTTGGACATTTTTGCATCCTTAGGAAGCTGGAAGATTCATTGCGGATTAGATCATTAGATCAAAGTGTATAATAAAGTGCCAGCTGGCAGAAATTAACATGACATGAAGGAATGAAAGCATACATACGTGTTCTAATGACCCGAGTTGTAGAACTCCATGTGGAGTAACAGGCACCAGTAAAATAGCCTACATGGTAGAAATCAAGAAACTATTAGTAAAAAAAAGTCAAGAATTGAAAACACAATCTAATCAGTAGTCAATAATGAATACCTTGACACCTGCTACAAACTGAAATAACCATTCATCTGGATGCTGCTAATGGAAGGGTAAATGGTAAATTACTAAATTTACTTTTGGTAATTCATGACTTGAAGTTTTAAACTCACCTCAGGAACTGGAGTGTTGTATCTCCTGATGATTCTTGATTTGCATAAATCAAGTGAGAGTTTCCTGTATATGCTACATCACCAACAACCCTACAAGTGGTTCACATTAAATTTCATCTCTTAAAATGTTTTGACATTTTTCATATAATAAATATTGTGTACTCACATCAAACTGTGCATCAAGATTTGCTTGTCCTTCAATAATTTCAATAAGCTCTTGAACCCTCTCATATCATTGAAATAATCATCACCATTACCTAAAAATGAGCTTCAATTTACAAAAAAAAAAAATCAAACTTTTCCATATCATCTTAAAAATAATCCAAAAATAATATTTTTTTTAAAGGATGATGCTATTAAATAACTTTTTTTTCAAAGTTCAATACTAAAAACATTTTTTCCCCAAAAAAATATCATATTAATTACCAACTAATGAACATTTAAAATGATATATTACATAAATGGTCCATTTGTGAAAAAAATTACATAAATGGTTTATATTTATAAAAAAAATACATAAAAGGTCCATACGTGAAAGAAAATGACAATGTACATTCCATTAACAAAATGTTAAAAAAAACGGTCGTCTAAATGAGATCTAATAAACATCCTTAAATTCTGACAAAAGACCGAAATACCATTCAAGCCTCAAACAACATAATCTGCTTATGTTTTTAGAATTTCATCGAAACCACATGAATATGAAATTTTCTCAACTCAAATGATTGCTATTTTTTAAACTATTTCCAACCATATACCAAAAATACCCTTTATTTTTATTCATTTTTATAGCTCTATGTAACCATTCATTCAACCAACTCTTTACTTTAAGATAAACCACAAATATCATTGAAATAACCATCACCATTACCTAAAAATGAGCTATAATTTACAAATCAGTTTTGACAGCTTCTTTCCAAGATAAGTTGATTCTTTTATCTCCAATAAATGATGGTGACTTTGCATGGAGTGGTTGTATTTACAAAACCAAAATATTATCAAATTATTATCTGTATACTATTATATATATATATATATATATATATATATATATGTATTTAAAATGCAAGAAACAACATTGTAGTTTTTATTTAATAAGAAGAAATTAGAACAGTAATATGTGTAAAAAAACAAATTAGATTTTTAAAAAACATAATCACCTCTATTATTTGAAATGAACAAATTAACTTTTCAGCAGAAAGAGTATCAATGTAGACTGCAGGCACTAAATTCTCAAATGGTATAATATTTAATAAGCCAGGTGATTACACCTTTGGAGAAATGTTTTGAAGAAATCTTTTTTTGTGCAATTTTCTTCCTCAATGTTGCGATCCAAGCTAAAACCACGATTAGGACTGAAATTTTAAAAAGTTCATTGTTAAGATATTAATTTTAATAATAAATATGAAATATTAAGCTTTACATTGTCGAAAAGTATAAAAACAGAATATAAAAGAAAATGAATATAAAAACAGGAGTGAATTGGAAAACCTTCTGCCAATGATAAAACGTATGACTATTCCTCTTTCTTCAAGATTCTTTAAAGAATAGCCTATTAAATTCAAGTGGCTTTGTAAGTTAATTTATCATTCTTATAATATAAAGATTGTATTTTTATAGGTATTAAGTTAAACATAGAGTAACATTAGAAAGGAAATTTAGAATATTATTTTATCATGAACTGGCCATCAGGCATCCATGATCCTCTGAAAGCATTTCTTCTTAATTTGTTACCAAATCCAGTGTAAATGCCAATCACAGCAAGAAAGTTTTTGTTAGAAGATGACTTCAATTGGTTACTATGAAAACCTTGACTTTTTGCTAGTGTTATTTTCATCTCAGTTTCCACAATTCTTCTCTCTAAATCCCTGAAAAAGACGATTGTGCTCATAAGATAGTTTAACTTTAACTCATCAAATTAATAATAGAACATAATGCAAAAGAGAAATAGGAAGACCCAAAATTTACTTGCATCATAGGACCATTAGCTTGTCTTCAACAGTAAGAATCTTTGGTCTCTGCCATTATTAAAAAACACAGAAACATAGTAAAAATAAGGATAGAAGGTAATGAAGGTATATTTTTTTTTAATAAATTGTGTGAAATCATAATGAATTATCAAGAGTCATAAGTTATAAAAACATACATGGGAAGAATTCTTAAATCAAAGATTAGATAATAATGTTCTGTTCTCGGCATCTTGACATCACATGGTAAGATCGGGCATGAACATTTCCCATATCCATTTTCAATTAGTAATTTTTATGTAATTAGAAATCTTTGATTTAAGAGATGGAAAATGAAAAAACATATACCACAGCTATCATGAAGTAATTTATGTAAGTTCATACCAATCATCAAAGCCCTAAATTATGATATCAGAAGAAAACAGAAGGTACTTGTCTACAAATCATAAAATTATGTAGTTTCAGTTCATCTCAATCATCAAATTAACATAAAAGTCCGTTTCTGAAAACATAATCCAATCAGTAAGCCCTAAATTTAAATTTCAGTGGACTAAGGTAAAGTTGCACTCATAGTTATAGCAAACCTTCAGGAAAGAATACGATCATCATAAAATTCAGAAGCAAACAAAAGGAACATGTCAGAAAACATATTGCAAATTAATAAGATCGTGATTACATGGGAAAGATTTATATGTAAATTCAACAACGGGGGTTATTCCATCTCTAGATCCGATACAAGTAAAGCTTGGAAGTCTGATCAAGGTTAGGAAGGTATAAAACATACTGCAAATTAATAAGATCGTGATTACATTACCTTAATGTTAAATCCATCTTTTGCATTGGTTTCTACAGACATGGCCCCGAAATTGCGAGCTTTATTTCCCCTTAGACTATTGTTACTTGCCTGTTTGACCACCGAAATTCTTAATGAACAAAGGAAACTGGATAAATTTCATCTAATTAAAAAGAATGCCATGCGCACCTTTTGTCAACAAGATCGGTTTTGTTCCCGATAAGGACTATATTCACATCGTTGCCTTGCTAGACGGAAAACCCTACAATCTGAGATTGATGAAGAAGATTGAAGTAGACGGGAATGGCTTCTCTGTTTCTTTAGGTTACGATTGGAGAGAGAGAGAGAGAGAGAGAGAGAGAGAGAGAGAGAATGACGAACGAAAGAAGACAATTAGGCCTTCCGGTATACCAACGACGAAGAGGCTCGTGATCTACGTGGCCACGAGCGTTGTTCGTGCACACCACCCCGGCCTACCGTGGTCGGGCGTTTTCGTGGTGGTTTGTGGTGGGGAAGACGAACGACAACGCCCAATCAGGGCTTCTTCTTCTCTCAGCTCTTCTTCTTCTCCCTCTGTCTCTCTCTCTTCGTTCTTCTATTCGTGGTTGTGGAGGGTACTCCATGGCTTTGTGGTGGGTGGTGGTGATCGATCTGGAAGCTCTCCACGACCGTTGTCGTGGAGAGTATAGCAAATGGCCTTATGTAACGGTGTTTGGCCAATACATATGATGTCAGCAAATAATCCAATGGTGGAGAATATAGGATTGAAATGCAATCAATGGCCCTGATTGTTTTAGGTTAGAATTAAAGGTTCTCTTTTAATAATATTTAAAGACTAGAATCAAAATCAAAATCATTTTAGAACTAAGAATGTGTAGTTTAGTTAATTTATTTTTTGAACATCAACCATTCATTGTTTTCTTCTAAAAAAAATTGATTGCTTAGTTCTACAAAATTAAAAAAAAATCGCAATAATAATAAATCTGTCAAACATTTTTGGGATATATACACTAAAATCCTAATATTTTCAACGATTTAATAAGAAAGTTTTAAACTTTATTTTTTGATGGTAAAGTCATATTTACTGACAGTTTTTGACACGCTTATCTTTTTTTGCCGGTTACTCGATAATTAGGGTTTTACTGTCAAAAAATAAAGTTTAAAACTTTCTTGTTAAATCGTGAATTAGGACTTTACTGCAAAAAAAAAATAATAAATAAATAAAATAAGACTTTTTGTCAAATGGTTGAAAATATTGACACTTTAGTGTATAGTCTTGGTTTCCCTATAAACAAATGATTTTATCAGCCTTGTGAGACCCAAATCCTATCCCAAGAACTTTTAATTGTGATATTTGTTGCAACACAACTGTTTTTTTTACCATCATCATCTTTGCTCTGCTACAATCACGATCAAGGGAAACAGATGCAAAAGAGAGAACAAAAAAGGGTGAGAAGACTTGTAAAACTTTCTTCTTGATTCACCACCTAATCTTAAACTGAAAAGAGGAGACGGATTGTACAAACACAACTAGCACCCGCTTAGTCAAAATGGTGTGAATGTGGAGAAGGGGGTAAGAAGGACAATTTTGTCTTTTCCGATTTCTTAGTTCTCCATTTTTAAGAATGCAAAAAGTCAACACAACTCTGGTTCTTTCTTTCTTGATTATCTTAATTTTTTCAATGTCGGTTTGTTGAGATTAAAAAAAACTATTTACAAGAAACAAATGTTAAAGATTTCAATAGGATCCAACTGACTAGAGCACATTGGTCAGATTCCAATAATTCTCCTACTTAAAGATTATCATACCATTAAATTTATAATAAAAAAGGGATATATATACACTAAAGTCTCAATATTTCCAACGATTTGACAAGAAAGTCCTAAACTTAATATATATATATATATATATATATATATATATATATATATATATATATATTGTAAAGCCCTAATTATCGATTAACCGGCAAAAAATGATAAACGTGTCAAAAACTGTCGGTAGTTAGAACTTTACTGTAAAAAAAAAACACTAGGACTTTCTTATCGAATTGTTAAAAATATTAGGACTTTAATGTATATATCCCAATATTTTTAAACACATTTTAGTTCATGATAATTAAATAAAAAGAATATTAAACACTTGTAGGTCCTACAATAAAACTCCAAATCATTTTATCCATCATTTATTTATTTTAACCTTATGGATAATTGGTTAATGTCTGTAAGGATATGAGTTAGATACAATTTAATATGAAAGGTTGATGTTAGGATGAAAGAGGAGAAAAATCGACACCTTTTAGAAGAAGAAGTATGGTTCGTGGGAAAATGTGAAAAGAGGAGCGGCCCCTCTGTAAACATTTCATTGGAAGGCAACGACGATGGACTTTAACATGTGGGCAGCAGATGGATCAACATGCAGGCAGCAAATGAAAACTGAAAACCACATTTATAAGTAGTAGGGAAATTAATATGTATATAAATAATATGTGATGAACAATCAAAGTTTTTGACACAAAATAGTAATATTGTTTCTTAAAAAGTATATGCATTGCTAGATTTCTAAAAAGGAGAAATTTGAGTACATATTAATTATCTATCCCAAAATTAGATAGGATTAAAGAAATTTGTGGATTCTACGGTTGAAAAACCATTTTTGAAAAAACAATCGAGACAAGTCGAGTTATCTGGTTGAAGCTGACAACTTAGTTTGAGCTATCACAAATAACTTAGGCTATCATCCACTTGCCAAGGTATATATACTTAATTTCGGGGAGGCTTGTCTACAGTTGCTGTTCCATTCACCTTCCGCCATCTGCTGCTTCTTCGACGCTTCCGAGTGTTTCCTCACCGCCTCCCTCGCCCAATCACATACAGTTGCTTCCACCACCTTCTATTTCTTTCATCTACCTCCTCTTTTGGAGACGATCACTAAACCTCCAGTTCCTTCCATTCCCTACCCGCCTCAAAACCACCGCCTCACTATGTTCTATTTCTTCTATACCTCAAATATTATGTTCTTCTTCTACGACCAGCATAGCCATGAATCCACTCTTTAGTAGTTGGTTTCCTTCATGCTTTCATAATTCCTAAAAATCAAGCTGCTTTAGGTAATTGTCTGAGTTCGATTTCAATGTAATTGCTCCAATCGTTCCATCAATTGCCTCAATTGCTTCAATAGTTTAATCAATCATGGAGCACAAATCGACTGCAAAAGCTTTTTCCTTTTAATAAAACCCACCAAGGTAAATTTCTTGAACACACGTATGTTTTCATTCCTGCGTTTGCAAATTTATAGGTTTTTTGTTACATCTGTCGGATACAAAAGGCGTTTAACAGAAAGGGAAGACGATGGAGGAGGCGGAAAAGAAACTGGAGACAGAAGGGATTGGCTGCATCATTCCGATGAGCAGTTACAGGTTATTATCCAAACCGCTTTTTTTAGGGCTTTTTTCTATATTTATTTTTTAAATTATGTTTACTTATTTTGTAAATGATTTTGTTAATTATGTTTACTTATTTTGTAAATAATGTTTCAATCTGATCAAATTTCAGTATGATTTGAATTGAACCTCCGTCTTCCAATCAACCTCCACCATGAATTTGATTCTGACGTCACAGCCATCATCGCAATATCTATGACTTCGTCTCTCCCGATCTCCCGATCACTTAGCAGGGACCTTTATATTTTGATTTTCAAAATCGATAAAAATTGACATGTATGATTTTAGACTCTGGGAATCCTCAATTCTATTCGCCTTTGGAATTTATGTAGAGTTGGCATTTTGCACTGGTCCTATGTGCAAATACAGAAACAGGAAACAAACTGTATAGGTATTATGCTTTTTTTTGGTTGTTGATATAATATAAATCTCAATAAACAACTACTTTTTGTTTTATTTTATTCATGAATCTTAAAAAATAAAAATGATTGGCAATGAAATAGGAACTCATTTTAAGTTGAGCATAATTGCACACCACCTGTTTGATGTTATGCCTCAGTGGAATGTGACATAGTTTTATTCTTCTAAAGTTCATAATTAGTGATTATGAACATCAAAGAATATTTAGGTTCATAAATATTTGCACTCATGGATCAACCACTCTTCTAGACACATCGTGTATTCTTATATATTAAATTCGACTTAACTTTCCATGCACATAATGGCAACGATTAATGCTACAATGACACTTTTGAACAACAATTTGAATGGGATTTCTTATAAGTGGGAATTCATGACTTATTTGTTGAACATGCAATAGATACATGCAGGATTGAGCCAAGGTACCAAGAGATGGCGAGTAGGAATATTGCAGAAGCTACTGAAGATGGGGTTATAGTAAGAATTATAGCAGGGGAACTTGGGGATGAATATACACATGAATTTTAGGGAACACCCACCATGTTTCTTGATATTAATATATTATATTAATTCACATGAATTTTAGGAAACAATGTTGTTTTCCTCATTCCGATTTCTGCAGCTTTATTTTCCTTTTTTTAAACCTTCGGTCCATTATTTTTCTTCTTTTAAAAACTTTGATCCCTGTCCCTCACCGACTCAAAATATTTTGACCCGGTCAACTTTCGTCTCTCCACCAACTCCCTCGCCCAGAGTCCTCCAATAAGATCCTCCATCGCTATTGACCGTCTTCCTTTTCCCAATTTACATGGATCACACGGATGAAAAAACTTTTTATCATTAGGAGAAAGCAGCAAACTTTTTATCATTAGGAGAAAGCAGCGTGCCATATATGTCACTAAAAGAATTAGGGCTGGCAATTCTCGACACGGCCCGCGACACGACACGAAATAAATGAGTTTGGGTTGAGTTTTTCAACCCGCCAACCCGTTTATTAAACGGGTCATATATGGGTTTCTCAAAAAATAAACGGGTTGACCCGCCAACTATTTATATTTTTAATAAAAAAAAATTTATTTTTAAATGTATTTATGTATCAAATCTTAATATTTAATAAGTATTATATAATATATACCATTGATTCATAGACCATTTGACTGTTTTGACATTTTGACTCGTGGTGGATGACCTAAGGTCATAAGTCGTAACCTGTAAGGCTAAGTCTGTAACCATTTTGCCCATTTTTCCTAAATAATAATCTCAAAGTTTATGTTCCACGAACCCAAATCTGACCCACGAACCCAAATCTGACCCACGAACCCGCCAACCTGTGAACCCGTATAAATAAATGGGTTGGCGGGTCATATATGGGTTTATGTTCGAAACCCGTCAACCCGTGACCCGCCAACCCGTGACCTGTATATTTAAATGGGTCGTGTTTGGGTTGGCATATTTTGACCCGCCAACCCGTGACACGCCAACCCGAACACGACACGATTGCCAGACCTAAAAAGAATGATTACCACCAATGTTTTTTTTAGTATATAATTTTGTTTTGATGTCACTTATTTTGGTTTGATGTGTAAAAATGTTTTGGTTGCAAGCAGTTGCTCTTTACTTTCTGGAAGCTGTGGAAGCTGTGTATTTGACAGGTGACTTTAGTTTAGTTGTGTACGTACAATATTGTTTATTAGAAGAAGTTTGTTACGTTTAAAACTTTTCATTATATTTAGATATAACAGGTTTTTGTTTTTACAGACTTTTATCATCTTTTAAGGAAGATGAGACAGAACAAAATAACTATTGTGGATTGAAATGTAAGATTTTGTTGGGTGTTACTCATTTTTTTGGTTTCTAGATGTAACAAAAATACAAATAATTATTAGTTGCTAAATTTGGTGGTGGTTTCTCAACATCATAATCTGGAGATAATAATATTAATAATGTCAATTAAAAAATATGGACAAAACTTAATGGTCTCATAAGATCACAATCACAAGTAGCTACTTCAGCAACTATTCCAGCTGATGAGCTCTACACTTTTGTATTTGCTTCTGTTGAGGAAGAGATCATTTCATTTGCAGATGCTTCTTATTTGTTTTCCATTCTTCTTCACTTTATAAGGAGGTAATTCTATTTAAATTGATTGCAATTATAGGTTAGAGATATCGATGAGGTAAAAGTATTGAAGCATGACCTTATCATGAATGATGTTCTCAAGTATGTTGTTTGCTCTCCTTTATCTCTTTCTATGTCTCTCTATTCCAATAATGGAGTTCTAAAAACCCAGTTTCAATGGTCAATTTGGTGATTGTCAGTAAATGATGGTAAATAAAGTTCACTATATCTGATTATGCGTAATTAGTATCGATAATTTTTGAGGTACATCATATTTTATTTTGTCACGTTCGTGTGTTTTAGAGATTTTTTAACTACATGTTTTATTGATTGTCAACTGTATTCTTCACCTTTTTCTTAGAATAATTGAATTGGGATTTTTTATTACTATTTGATTGTTTATTTTTATATTCAATTAGGTGGTCTTGTACATAGAAAAAATCCGAAGATTAATCACAATTTGCATGCATTCTTAAATAGCCAACAAATGCCAAATTATGTTTTCAAAACCCGACTATGTTCTTCTTCTATGTATAACTAATTGTTTCAGGATGAGTAATTTGGATATTGTTCTACAAGAAAAAGATGTCTGCTTTGGTAATGTCAAAGGAATGATCCCATATGGAAAGGGTAAATACAGATGGAAAAATGGAACGGTTTATGAGGCGGGTTGGGAAGAAGGAAAAATAGAAGGTAATCTTGGAATTTCAACTTTATTTTTAGGTCATTTTGGCGTACCACGTGTTCAATGAAATGTTTATGAGTATTAGTGCTACATTAAACTCAGTCCTTTATGTGATTTCGAATCTATTTTTTTTCATTTGTGATTTATATCTTATCATGTTGAGGTTTTGACCTCTGGTTTTTGTAGTAAATACCGATTTTGTGGAGTATTATGTAGAAGGAATCAGGTTTTAGCAAAGCGAAAGGTGGTGGTTAAAGAAATAATTAAAAGTGGAGGAACAATGCTTATCCACGAGGTAATTTTGCTAACCAAGCATTAATACCTTTTGTATTCACTAATAATATCAAAATTTTATTGTAGGTGCAACTAAAAAATATTATAGCTAATTCATGAATTTGGAAAGAGAGGAGATATGGTATCCGAAGATTGATTAGGTTGGTATATTTGCAACCACTTAAGAGACCACATGTATATCCGTACATGAGACAAATACTTATGAATTATAGAATTTAAAGTTAAATGGTTTACAAGATGGTAGTAAAATATGTTGTTCATCAAAAATTATGCATGTTGTGTTGGGTAAATCTGTATATTGATTAACCAATTGATATTTTGGTTTGGTTTTGTAGGGTGTGACAAAAAGAACTTCAAAAAAAGAGAGAAAAAAAAAGTTCTAATACCAACTGACCCCCGCAACGCTGGGGAAACTCTTTCCTAGTTGTTAGGAAGCTTGAATTGCCTCCAAGCATACCCAAATTCGGCTTGTGTCTTCAACTTTATTATATTTGTATTATTTTTAATCTATGTAAAATAAGGTCTTAACTCTCCACCTTGAACCTTTAAAGATTTGGGTTTCTATCCACGATACATACTACAATACTTGTGGAAGAAGTTCTCCATTTTGATCATCACTATAGCATATCATAAAGAAGTTCAACTTTGGGATTTGGGTTTCTTGGATTTTGAACTCAATTTCAAAAGAAATTTCAGCTTCCGTTATCTACTTGAAGACTGCTGCAGCCATTTGGAAAGAACTTAAGGAAAGATTTCAACAGAGTAATCCTCCAAATAAAGCGTGATCTGATGTATGGAGTAATGTAATCTCTGTATATTACTTTCAATAATAGATACATGTATTTATACAACGAATAGAAACTGGAAAAGAGAGAAATACTCCTAAGTATGTGCTAAGACTAAAGTGACTTTAAGTGTAAGACTATTTCAACTATACACGTTTTTATTTTGCAAATACCCTCCGGCAAGCTCAAGAGCGGGACGAACTTGCAGCTTGGAACGAAGAAAAACAACTCGATCTTTGGCTAATGGTTTGGTGAAGATATCGGCTAATTGGTCTACTGAAGAGACTTTACATATGCTTAGCTGCCCAGCCTCAACCTGTTCTCTAATAAAATGAAAATCCAAGGTTATATGTTTGGAGCGTGTACTAATAACCGGATTTTTACTCATGAATATAGCCCCGACGTTGTCACACATTATCATTGGCGGATGTTGAATTGGAGCCTGAAGATCAGAAAGTAGTTGTTTTATCCACATGAGTTATGCAATAGTGTATGCCAAGGAGCGATACTCAGCTTCGGTGCTTGATCGGGCTACAACCTTTTGTTTTCTAGAGGTCCAACTGATGAGATTTGGTCCATGAAATACAGCAAACCCATATTGGGAGCGACTGTCATCACGATCTCAACCAGCATCTGAATACGCATGTAGAGATTTTGTTGTGGTTGGCTTGAAATGTAGACAATGGCTGATCGTTCCTTTAAGGTATCAGAGAATGCGTTTAACAGCTTGCTAGTGCCGAGTGGTTGGGGAGTGCATATACTGACAAACACGGTTGACAGAATATGCAATATCCGGGCGGGTGATAGTAGCGTACTGAAGGGAGCCAACCACCTGTCGATACAAAGTTGGATCAACAAAGGGATCACCTTCACGTTGAAGTCGGATTTGAGGATCAGCAAGAGTGGAAATCGAGGTGGCCATTGACATATTGTTGTGAGTTAAAATATCTTGAATGTATGCTTGCTGTGATAGAGTTAGACCAGTGGCATGGCGTTGAATTTTTAGACCTAAGAAGAAATTCAAATCTCCAAGATCTTTGAGAGAGAACATCCGATTTAATTATGAGATAAAGTGTTGAAGATGAGCATCATTAGTGCCTGTTATTATGAGATCATCGACATACACAAGAACATAAATAGTGGATGATGGTGAAATGTGAACAAACAACGAAGTGTTTGATTGACAAGCACGAAATCCTTGTGTGACCAAGTATTGTTTTAGTTTGGTAAACCATGCCCTCGGAGCTTGTTTGAGGCCATAACTAGCTTTGTGTAGTCAACACACGTGATGAGGTTTCGTGGGATCTTCAAACCCTTTTGGTTGTTTTATATAGACTACTTTACCACTGAGAAACGCATTGTTGATATCGAGTTGCCGGATACGCCACCCTTTAGAAAGAGCAAGATATAGCACCAATCGAATAGTAGTAGGTTTGATAATAGGGCTGAAAGTGTCAAAGAAGTCAACACTTACTTCTTGACTAAACCCTTGAGCAACCAAGCAAGCTTTGTAACGTTCAATAGAGCCATCGGAATGTCTTTTGATCATGAAAATCCACTTACATCGGACAATATTAGTGTTAGTAGGACAAGACACAAGAGACCAAGTGTTATTTTTCATGAGGGCATCAAATTCTGCCTTCATC